TCCCGCACGGCCACCAAGAGCCCGAGTGGTGGCCCGAGAACCGGCTGGGACGGGGATGCTGGGATCGGCGCGGGGATTGTTAAGGGGACTGAGGGGCTCTGAGTATTCAGTTGTACTGGGTCGGGCTGGCGGAGTACTTTTCTTGATATGCACATGTCACATACCTGATAATACGTGGACCCCTGTCCACGACAATCAGCACAACATCTAAAACTTTCCAACCGTAACGGGCCAATACATTACAACCAACATAACATAATAGAGTGGAACTTTCGGCTTGCCAACGCAAGTCGGCCCCTGGCAACACAATGCAACACAATGGGTAATCCGTGGAGAGAGGAACGTGTGAGGTGGATGGAGAGGGGGGAGGGGGAGAGAGAAGAGGGAGGAAAACAGCGATCTGCGAGAACCTGGAGTAATAATAGATCCAAAACGACTTTCTGAGGAACCCCAACCATCCTTGCTACCCAAGACTGTACAAGAACAGCCACACGATGGCTCTTAGGAACCAACCACGCGTCCAAGACAACCCCAAGGCGCCCCAAAGCGACCCCTGAACAGCTTAAGAGGGCCTCCCCGATCATCATCACCATCATCATCAATGCCACCAACCTCATCATCAGCAGCAGCAGCAGCAGCATCATCATCATCATCATCATCATCATTATCAGCATCATCCTCATCATCGTCGTCACCATCCTCATAATCAACATCGCCATCATCATCAGCAGCAGCACCATCACCACCGTCATCATCATCTGCATCACCATCACCATCACCATCATCATCATCATCATCAAGATCATAGTTAACATAATCATCATCAAAATCAGCAGCAGCACCATAATGATCACCGCCACCACCACCACTATCCTCACCACCAACACCACCAGCAACATTATCTGTATCATCATCATTACCAACATCATCCTCAACCTCATCCTCATCCTCATCCGTCTCCTCTTCCCCCACCGCCTCCTCATCACCATTATCATCAACATTACCGTCACAATAATCATCATCATCATCATCATCATCTACATCATCATCATCATCATCATCATCATCATCATCATCATCATCATCATCATCATCATCATCATCATCACCAACATCATCGCCATCATCAACATAATCAGCATCAGCGTCAATCATCCGCATCATCATCACATCATCATCATCGTCGTCGGTATCAGCAGCAAAACCATCATCATCAAAATCCTCAACATCATCATCATCCTCATCATCATCATCATCCCCATCCTCATCCTTATCATCATCATCGTCGTCATCATCATCATCATCATCATCACCATCATCACCATCACCATTATCATCACCCAGCCTCGCGACACGAAATATCACGCGTCACTGCCCCCCCGCCCCGCGCCCCCGCGAAGAGCCGCCACCCGGAATGCTGGGCCTGCAGAAACACATCGTGGGACGTCTTCCTCTTGGCTCACGAAACTTGGGGGGGCGGTGCGATCAAGGGACATGGAGGTAGGGCGACGAGATCTATGCACATCCACTGCTCCTGGCCAGGCCCATCCTGGGCCCAGGAGTGGTGTATATGCCTCCCTGGCCAAGCCAGGAGGGCGTATACACAGCTCTTGGGCCCAGGATTGGCCTGGCCGGGAGCAGTGGATGTGTATAGATATCGTCGCCCTATGGAGGAGACGTCTGGCATCGGGCGTTGGGGGGCCAGTCCCGAGAAGGGGCCCATGACCCGCGCCGCCGAGGTCGGCAGGAGTAGTTATGTGGGAGCAGCGACGGGCCGCGGTGGAGAAGATTCCTTAAAACCCGACAGGGGTTGATGAGATTGAAGGGGCCCCAGTTCACACAAATAAATACACACAAATAAAAATATTCCCCATATTTTCTCATATTTTCTGGGTTTTTGTCTTCCCCCCCACTTCCCATATTTTCCCATATTTTCCTTGGAATCGCCGATTAATTGTGTCTGTGTTTTTTCCTCTCCTGAGAGATCCACATCCAATGAAGGACACGCGCCTTCGCTATGAGTGTCCAGCGTGTATCGACGTGGAGAAGGTTGCACGACCACTTGAGAGCTCCCGCGTTGGCGCGGAGGCGTGCGGAAGCTGAGCGGTCACGGGGGGAATGTGGAAGGACATGCGGAAATTCGAGCAAGGTCTGGATCGTTGACAAGAACGACCTGGAAATGGAGAAAACTGGACGGGCATGGAGAAAATTGGATGGCCATGGGGAGGATTCGGCGAAAATCTAAGCCGGAAACCCCAGAGAAGCACAATCGCCCCTGGGCCCTTCTGGCCAAGACAAGGGGGCTCCGGACTCCCTCCGGCCACACTGGCGGGACTCTGGGACTCGTTTGCTACAACTGGTGGGGGGGTCTGGGGCCCGTCCCGTGAAGGCTGGGGGACTGCAGGGCCCGTCCGGCTACCCCTGTAAGGACCCAGGGCCTGTCCGGCTCAGGCTGGGGGGGTCCAGGGCCCATCTGGCTAAGGCCAGGGGGCTCTGGAAGACGTGTGGCTATAACAGGGCTCGGGGGCCCGTCCGGCTAAGACTGCGGGGCTCCTGGGCCCGTCCGGATAAGGCCGGGGGGCTCCGGGCCGGAGAAATCCACCATGTCCGTGTGAATTCGTCTATATCCTTCCGATTCCCTCGCACGTTCCCCGCGCCCTTCCCAGCCCCCTCATGTGCGCCCCGCTCCCCCGTGCCTTTCCCAGCTCCCCCATCGCCTTCCCAGCTCCCCCACGTCCTTCCCATCTCCCCCACGTCAAGTAAAGATTCCACACGTCCACTCAACTGCTTCCATGCGCCATCCTGCCCCCCCCTGGTAGCACAACCTCCTTCGCAGGTTCGCCACTCTCCCGACAACCTGCTACACCTCGACGAACAGTCCACCCAGCCTGATGATCCGCTCCCACATCCACCGCAAAGTGAGAAGCAGCACGGCAATCGTGGAGGCTGGTGGGAAGCGTTGGCTGTGGCGCTGTGCCGCGAGAGCGACGCCTGAGCGATGCTAGGCGTGGTGGCGACGTTCCGTTGCGATGCAGCCCCAGCCGCCCAGGCCCGTTGCCAGGGCGGCCTGCGGCGAGTCCTTTCGCTCTTCCTCCCGCCGGAATAGCTATCCTCGGGTCCCGCCCCGCTCCACCACCACAAGAGGAGGGGCGGAGGGAGGTTGGCGTGGCAAAGGCGGGGGGAGGAGGGCCGAAAGAAGATGAGCCGGGGGAGAGTGAAGGTTGGAGGTTGGTGGAGGCCCTCAAGTTGCATCCCATATCGTGGGTGAGAAAGGCCCGGTGGGGACCAGCTGCCATCTCCTGTGCGTGAATGAGGCCCACAAGGAACCACGCGAGTACATCGGATTACGCAACGTGCGTGAATGAGAAAGCCCCTTGGGGACCGACAGCAAAGCATACATGTTGTTAGTGTTCTCGCTGTGTGCTGTGCTGCGTAGCTGGGCGTCTGCGCCGCGCGCCGCTGCAGATGGAGAGGCAAAGTACACGACTTCTGCTGCCATCTGCGCTGCTGCTGGTGACTACCAGTGAGCGCGCACAGCCCAGCATTAGGGTAGTGCAGAGGCGTGGATTTGGAGTGGGCCCGCTGGCTGCAGCATGCTGCCTGTCGTAGGAGATACAAATGGTCAACATTGGAGTGCGGGGAGCGGCGGCACATGGATGGCCCGCCGTTCGGGCCCGATCCTGAGGCTTGGGCCTCGCGCAGGTTGCGGGGGCGACGGGGGGGGGGATCGTTGCCGCGCCGCCACTCTTGCTCCATGACTCGCCGTAGTGGTCGAGATGCCGTAGTTAGGGGGCAATCATACCTACCTCGCTTTTGACCACCCTCGCTTCCAGGAGATACCAAGCGATGCCAAACTACGGCCTGTACTGGTCAGGCCGCTTGACGAGGAGGCGCGTGGTCTGAGTCGGTTTTGCCCGGAAGCGACAGCAGGGTAGGTAATTCACGCTCCGAGTAGTGCTCCGTGGTGCTTCGCGTGACTCTTCTCTCCGCTGCCACGCCCTCCCGATTCGCCGCAGTGTTTCGGGTCGGGCGAAAGGGGGGGATAGCAAAGGGGGGGGTTGAGAATCAGCTCACGTAGCTGATTTTCCCGGCGCCTCCCGGCACCGCAGGCGGCCATGTATCGAGGAATGGGCCCCTCGGCGAAGCCGAAACCAGCTGCATGCAGCAAATTTCGTAACCCCCCCTTTCCCAATCCCCCCCTTTCGCCCGGCCCGAGTGTTGTGCTCGAGATGGTGAGCGACTTCGCAGTGGTGGCCACGGCTGCCAGCTCTGCCTCTGCTCCGGCCGCGGGGGGCGCCCCGGGGGGTCCGTGGGCCTACTGGCCGTGCAGGTCGGCGCCCGGCTGTCTCTGGCCCTCCTCCCTGGGTGCGGCTGGCCCTTCCCGCGGCCCCCTCCGGGGGGTCGGCGGGGCTGGACCTGGACTCGCCGGCGGGCACCGCTGCGCCGTGGCCTGTGATCGTCGTGCGGCTTGCCGCCGGCGTCTGGTCGTGGAGAGTGTCAGTTGACGCCAGCTGTGAGCTCGCGTCCGGGCCGCGGCGCTGCCGCGCCTCGGACCCCAGCGGCGGCGGCCAGCTGGCCACGCGAGGCGGCGCGCTGCTCGCGCCGCGAGGCGAAGTGGCCGGGGGCTGCCTCCAAGCGGTTGAGCCTGGCGATTGTGCTTCTGAGGTTCGGATCCTCGTCGTCTTGAAATGCTCGCAGCGGGTTCTGTGGGTCGCGGCGCTGTAGCTCGGCAGTGAGCGTTGTGCTCATTCTTGCGACGGGTTGCCTCCGATTCGCGTGCTTGTGGCAGCCTGCCGCGGCCCGCGGTTGGCTTGCGTCCAACGGACTGGCTGCTTGTACCTCCGGATCCTGGGCGTTGATAAGCTCGTTCGTCCCGTCGGTCGCTGCGGCGGCGGTGCCCTCCTGGAGGCGCGCAATGGCGAATGGCGCAAGTCGGGAGGTCGGATTGTAGCGCATGCCCATCTTGCTTGCATGGACGGGCTGCGGCGTTGATGGGTCACCGCGGCAGCAGGCGTGGGCTTGCCCTCGCATCCGTCGCCGATCTGGCACGTTAGCATCGTAGCGAGCTGGTGTTTGCCGAAGTGGGCGAGCACGGAACGACTGTGGGCCATCGAGAACAGGCGCGCCTCGTGCAGCCCGTCGTGCCTGTGGACGTGGTTTGGCGAAGCCTCGACCAAGTTCATGACTCTGTCGAACTCGATCGGCACGTCGCGGTCAACGCCCTGCTCCAGGTCGCGTTTGCTCCAGGCCTCGTTCGTGCTGTCGAAGTACTCTGAGATCTTCTTTTGGGCGTGGACCTTGAAGAGATGGGCGCGGCGGTGGGTGCTGCTGATGGCGTCGGCAAAGCGGGCGATGAAGTCTTGATGTCGCGTGCTGTGGTCGGCTTCCGCGGTCATCCCCGTAGGTGGCTGTTCGATCGGCGGTCTCGCTTTACCGCATATGGCGTTCACGTGAGGCCCTGCCAATGCTTCGACTTCGATTGGATGCGCCGTGTGATGCGATGTCGCCGCGTGGCCGCCTCTGCAATGGTGTGTCCGAAGCTCGCTGTTGCTGTGGGGATTCCTGTTGTCGCAGTGGTGCCGCGGGTCTGCCCGAGGTGCTGTCGTCACCGGATGTGGTGCTCAGTTGTTGCGGCATGCTGGGTGGATGCGCTGATGCATGGCGGTGCCTTGTAGCGTGGCCCATGTTTCGCGGTGGCCGCAGTGCCGTTAGCAGTCGACACAGTTTTCGTCTTGACCCGCATCGCTGTCATCACGTGGCATCGGTCATGTCAAATAGCCTCGGCGTAGGTCCATTTGGCATTTTGGCCGTTGGCCACCATGGTGCCCTCTCATTCGGAGCTGGGTGAGGAAGCTGCCGCGTGGTGGTCGTTCGACTGGTGGATTATTGCTTGCGGCACTGGTGCCACCTGCATCTCGCAAATGGTCCTCAAAACCCCTCCTTGGTCACGAAAGAGTCCGCGCGGCTGCGCAAGAATAATTTACCGGTGAAAGGCCGACGGAGCTGTTGGGCTGCACAAAATTGGCCATATCGCTGCCGTTCAGGTCGGGCATGTTTCGTGGAAAATGTCCACCTTGTCCTTGAAGCCTTTGTCCGTGTAAAGCTTCATGACGGTTTCCTCAAGAGCGGAGATGTCGACGTAGTAAGACCTTGCCTGTTGTGACGGCGAGCGTGCTCTCGGCGGGGATGGCAGTGGTGGGGGCAGTCGATGGTCACGTGGTGTCATAGGTGGGTGCCTCATGATGGTGTCGTTGGTGTCGTATGAACACTCCAAGCAGGGGATAAAGCACTCCCTGGCGTCCAGGTTGTAGAAAGTGTACCTGAACCTGACAGGTGTGCCAGCGCCTGCTTATGCGACCCATGGCCCAGGCAAGAGTAGCCCATGGCGGGGTGCCAAGGGCAAACCAAGTGGTTGGACGGCTTTGTGGTGCAGGGCCTGTGCTAGCGCGTGCGCGCCCAAACCCATGTAGTTCGGCGGGTACACTGGCGGAGGTGGGCAATTTTGTGGGGGGCGGCTCGCTATGCTGAGCAGGGACCGACCGTCCCGGCATTCCTATAGTCCAACCACGAAATGTTCTTAGAACCCCAAAAGGTTGTAATAATAAAATCAGAATGTTCTTAGAACATAATGCAAATGTGCTAAAACAAGACAGACTCCGCCAGAAATGTTCTAAGAACATTTCGTGGGAACCACGAAAGGTTCTTAGAGCATTTTTTGGTGGGGCTGAAGGCGAGCCAGGACGCTTCGCCACTGCTTGACGATTGGACGTCTCAGGGCCTGGTGCCGGCTTGCTGTGGTCTTGCTCGGCCTGGCCGCACCGTCAGGGCGCTGTACCAGCAAGAGATCATACCGGCTGGTCGGAGTGTGCGTCTCTTAACCCCCATCAGCCCGATCTGTTCCTCGTAGTCGTCGTTGATGTTGTTGTGAAATCGTTCTTCATCTCCTTGAGCGTGGACGTCGGCGACCAATGTGTTCATGCAGCCGGAACCCTGGATGACTGTCGGCTCCTCCCGTATGGCGGGCTCGAGGAGTGACGGTCGGGTTATTATGTGTGCCCCTTGGGATCGCGTCGTGTCCGTAGTTGTTTGGAGTCCCTGGACATGGTCCTCGTATGTCACGTCAGCTGGTAAGTGCCATTTGGCACCTGCAATGGCAGCCAATGTGGGCTGCCGTTGGATAGTGGTACCACTTGAAACTCGTACCGCTCGTTCAGCCGGTGAAGTGGTTGATGGGGACCCTGTACTCGGCCTGGTAGTCCCTAAAGAACTCTTGTTATTCGATTGTTACTTCGACCAGAAGGACCAGATCTCCGTCAGGATCTCCCATTGCAGCGTGGAGCGCTGCTCGGGTCTGTGATGCTCCTCCCCTTCCTCCGCCTCCATGCGTGGACGCCACGCTACAGGCAGATTACTTAGAGTCGGACTTCCTTGGAGAGGACACGCGCGAGGACAAAAGACCCTTCCGAGGGTCACACTGCCATAGGAATGCAGGAGGCACGGGTCGCGAGACACAGGACATAAGAATACCCTTCATTTGGCAGGGTCGACCTACTATTCCGGGCTGACTGTATTGTTTGAGCAGGGACCGACCGTCCCGGCATTGCTATAGGCCTGCCACGAAATGTTCTTAGAACCCCCAAATGTTGTAAGAACAAAACGATGTTCTTAGAACATAAACCCGATGTGCTAAAACAAGCCAGCCTCCGCCAGAAATATTCAAAGAACATTTCGTGGAGATCACAAAAGGTTCTCAGAACATTGTTTGGTAGGGCTATAGGCAAGCCAAGACGCTTCGCTACTGCTTGACTCCGACGCGCTCCTCCACTGCTCCGCTCCGCTCCTGCTCCTCCTGCTCCCCCCTCCCCTGCCCCTCGTCCTCTTCGGCAACATTCCTCATCCCTCCTCGTCCTCCTCCACCTCCTCCTCCTCCTCCTCCTTCCTTTCTTCTCCTCCTCCTCCTCCTCCTCCTCCCTCCCTCCCTCCTCCTCCTGCTGCTCCCTCCCTCCTCCTCCTCCTCATCCTCCTCCTCCTCCTCCTCCTCCGCCTCCTTCTCCTTCCTCCCCCTCTTGCCTCCTCCTCCTCCTCCCTCCTCATTCTCCTCCTCCCTCCTCGTTCCTCCCCCTCCTCCTCCCTCAACTGCTCCCCCTCCTCCCTTCTCTTCCTCCTCCCACCTCTCCTCGCCCTCGCCTCCCTCGACGACATGACGCCGTGCCGCGAGCACGCGCATCGCCGACGCACTCGCGGCAGGCCCGCCTCGCGGAGCGCCCGCCCGCGCCCGAGGCAGGCGCCCTCCCACGACAGCCTGGGCCCGGCAGGCGTGGAGGGCAGGATCCATCAACATCGAACCGGGAAATCGGATGGACATTACCAGCCTGGAACATATCCCTATCCCTTTGTTGGGCATCGCCTCATCACGATGGCGATCTTAGGGACTTCCTCAGTTTCTGAGGGTGCATCCCTGAGATTGTCATCTCCTTTTAGCGTGTCAATCTTAGGGATAGGGATACATTCGAGGTTGGTGAGGACTCGGCATGTGCATCGGATCCAGGCGAAATCGGGGATCTTGTGACCCGGGTCGATCCAGACCCGGGTCAGCAGGAGACCCAAAAGCTGCAATGCAAGAAACAAAAACTGCAACGCAGGTCTTGGCATACACGGGTCAGCCAGTAGGCGCGGCCGCCACGCGGCCACGAGGCTGCCTAACCCGGGTCAGCCAGAGGGGGTCTTCGCAGGATCCTGCAGGATCCCGTGCCCTGGCCGACAGCCGTCTGCATTGACCCCCGTCTCTCAGGCTCCGACGAAGTCATAATCGGATCGGACCGGCTGCGCCAGGAGGAGGAGGAGGAGGAGGAGGAGGAGGAGAAGGAGGAGCAGGAGGATGCAGACTGGCGCCCTGCAAGCGTCGGCCTGTCTCGGATCCTCCGCTCGTCGGAATATATAGCGGCACCCCAAGAAGGAGATCGGATCGGATCGATCGGATCAAGATGGACCCTGGGCTGGCCATCGCTCGGACGTCCATTCCCTGTGTTTTCGTTTCGGTTTCGTGCGTGGTTTTTTCGCCAAATGATCAAGGATGCTCCTCGATGGTCCTCGCCGAGAAAAATGCACACGTCCGAGCGATGCCAGGTGGGGGGCGCCTTGAAGTTCCAGATCAGCGTGTCGATGGGCAGCTTGAACTTCCGGGCGTAGTTCTGGCGCGATGGGGGGACGTCAGGGGGGGCGCGCAGCAGGGGGGGGAATCTCGACCTGGACTCGGCGGTGCATCGCCGATGGATCGGCGATGCAGCGGCGCTACTGCCACAAGGAACGCCGAACACGAAACGAACCACGGTTTGACCCCGCAAGCGTTTGGATGCCCGAGGCGTGCTGCGGGAACGGCATGGATGGTCCAAGGAACAGCAGGCCCCTGAGTTCGGCGTCTTGGCCGAAGGCCCCCGATCGCCGGGACCGCACGGCGGAGGAAGAGGAGGGGGAGGAGGAGGAGGAGGAGGAGGGAGGAGGAGGAGGAGGAGGAGGAGGAGGAGGAGGCGGAGGCGGAGGAGGGAGGAGGAGTTCCGTAGCCATTTTTGCTCAAGCCGTCTGCCCGCTCGGGGTGGGCCGGCCACGCGCGCGGGCCCGCGCGCGGGCGGCGGCAGCGAGGCCCGCCATGGAGACCGCGAGGGGGGGAGGGCCCCACCACGTCCCCCGCCGCGGCGGCGGTCTCTGGCGGCGGCTGCCCGCGGCGGGCTGCTGCCTGGCCGCTGCCCGCCCTGAGGCGCGCGGGCCCCCAAGGAGTTCCGTGCGAGGGCTCGCAGGTCAGCACCCCCAGGGATTCTGAGCACGCGAGCAACAAGGCCCTGCAGGAGAAGCTCTACGCGAGGAACAAGGCCCTGCAGGAGAAGCTCTACGCGAGGAACAAGACACTACACAAGCATAATATTTCGAAGGTCCGTGCGGATACCTTTGGTCCACGCTGAGCCCCCCTCCCTGGCGCGCAACACACAGCGGAATTGTCTTTGGAGGCGGCGCCAGGAAGGATTCCAGCGCCGAGCGCCGAGGAGTCCTCGCGGACCTCCGGAAGTTGATGCGCGTCGTGCTGATTCGACTTGGCTGCAAAGCAGACCCGCTCAAGATCGGTCCCCGGACCCCTCCTGACGCGCGCCTGGGGGGCGGACCTTGATGGGCCTGTTTTCCACCACCACCACCATAAGTTGGAGGGGGGAAGGAGGAGGGCGAGGAGGAGGAGGAGGAGGACGAACAGGAGGAGGAGGAGGAGGAGGAGGAGGAGGAGGAGGAGGAGGAGGAGGAGGACCCCCCCCTCCAACTTATGGTGGTGGTGGTGGAAAACACGCCCAGCAGACCTGGCCGCGGCGACGAGAAACCCTCATGGCGGGAGCCTGGTCTCATGACCCCGCCGGGGCCGCTCGCAGGGCCCACGGGAGAAGCGGAGGCGGGCGAGCAGAGGAACAGCGGGCGGGGGCCGAAGGGGGTCGGGCGTGCACGACGGGGGGGACGGCCGATGGGGGGGCAAGAAGGGCGCACCTTTCGCGCATGGGGCCCCTCTACAGGGCCCCTGTCGTGCAACCCTCGACGCCCCCTCCCCCCACGTGAGGGGGGAACGATAGGGGGGCCTTGCGGCAAGCGGCTCAAGAGGGAGGGGGGGGGGAAACAGCGACCTGGGATCGGCGCTGTGCGTCGCCGACAGGTCGGCGACGGGCTCCCTACGCCGCGCACCCGCAGCGCCCTGCGCGGGGCGAGCTCGGGGCCCCCCTCGGCGACCACGGGGCGGCGGGGGGCCGATGCGCCCGCCCTGCTGCCGCGGACGGCCGACGGAGACGATGGCTGCAGCCGTGCACGCCTCTCCTGCCCCGCCCAACCGGCAAGGGCCCGGGGGGGAGGGGGGGCCCATCTTGGGGGGCGGAAAGATACGGATACGTGTTGTCCCCGGACCTCTCTTGGGGTGCGTTCTGACCAGAATTTCGAGGCGAATCCAGCGGTGACAACGAGGATTCCCCAGGAGGACCAGGAGAGGCCGAAAACGGCGGGGGACAACACGTATCCGTATCTTTTTCTCCCCCGACCATCGGGGAAGAGGTGACAGAAAAGAGGAAGAGGTAGGACAAACCTGTGGGGCTCGACCCCAGCGTGGCCCCCCCGGAGCCCCTCCCCGCCCTCGGTGCTCCCCCTGCCGGGGCCGGAGAGACCGGACGCAGACGGCCCAGGCCATCGACCCTCGAGCCCGTCCTCCCCCTCGGAGCCCCCCCCCCCCCTCGAGCGCTGCCTCCCGCTCCGACGCGGAGCTCTCGGGCCGGGCGAAAGGGGGGGATAGCAAAGGGGGGGGTGAGAA